TCTGTATTTGGGACTCTGATATGTGGAAAGGCTGTAAAAAGGACACAGATGCTTAAACCCAGAAAGTCCTGGTTCCTTTATATGCAGTAGTCTTTCTTTAGCTTGTCTCTTGTGTTGGTTTTACTTTCAGCAGCTGTGTAGTAACAGTGTCCTTTCCTTCGGGTCCGGTATCATTGTCTTCACTATCCTTAAAACCCTTCCTACCAGCCTCTTCGAGGACCATCAGGCTTCCACTCACAGTCGCTTTAAAACTCTTTTTGTTTTCATGCTTATTCTTCTGTAGGTCCTTTTTTCTTCTGCTTAGCTCCTGGTCCAGTGGCAATCCTACATGTTTTAGTAGTTTTTGTTGTTATGCAATCTCTATGTAGTGTCCCTATCTGTATCAGTTACTTGTTGGTATGTAACAAAATGTCGTGTCTCAAAACAACATCTGTTTTGTTCATAAGGTGCAGTTATAAGCAAGGCTCAGTGGGGCCAGCTCACTTTTTGTTTACTTGGTATCAGCTGAGGTGACTTAAAGCTGGGGACTAGAATCATCTAAAGGCTTGTTCATTCACCTTTGTGGCATTTGAAGCTGCTTTGGCGGGATGTTAGGTAGGGAAGACAACTCAAACACCTACCTACGTGAGGATTCACCATGTGGTTTGGGCTTTCTCACAGCGTGGTGGCTACATTTTAAGGACTAGAGTCCCTAGAGAAAGAGAGTCAGGTGGAAGCTGTATGACATTTTGTAACCCAACCTCAGAAGTCACACAGCAGTTCTGCCACATTATGTTCCCGAGAAACCAGTTATTAATGCCAGCTTGGATTCAGGAGAGGGAATGTCATGGGAGAAGTGGCAAGCAATTTGCAGATGTTTGGGAACCACCACTTCACTTACCTTTTTAAAATAAGAAAGCCATAGTCATTTCCTCTAAAGGAAAGCAGTTCTTTCCAACTCAGCACCACTGAAATTTCAGTGAGATTTTTTGTTGTCATCGTTTAATGTGCTCTCTTATTTCATGTAAAGTAGCAATGAATTACAAGATTGTGCTACTAAATTAAGGCATTTTTATTCAGAAAAGTGGTATGGATCATGCCATTCAACTTTTATACTGGGAGATGTGATTGCTTCTTAACTGCAAGTATCATTACTCCTTGAAATGTAATTCAAATTAACTTAAGACACTTGCACTTCAGCAAGAGGCTTGTGGTGCTGGAATCCACTTTTTTTCCAAGATTTATTAGAGTCTTATTTTCAGAGTCTTATTATGGGAGCCATTTCTTGACTGAGGCCCAAATAATTTAATATTACGCCCCTAAAACTTCCATGCAAATTACGGAGAATGACAGTGGGTTAAAGGCATAAGAGACTTGTGCTAAGGGGGTGACTTAGAGCCATTTTAAGGAGGAAAGCCGTGGAATGATTGTAGAAAAACAGAAGTCTGAGATCAAATCCAAATGTTATGTGGAAAAAACGATGAAAATAAAGGAAATATTTTTGTGAATTCTTGTGGCTTTAACTTTGTTTTTAATTTTCTGAGTAATTCAAGGGTCTGTTTTTTATGAGTCTACAACAGTATAGGTAATATTTTATTGCAACTGAATTCATTTCAAAAATGATTAGTTTTATGTTAGACCATTCTCAGTCTACTTCCTTTTATCTTTTTTATTTTCTGCCCGTGCTTGAGTGCACTGGCACTGTCTCTGGTCACTGCAACCTCCACCTCCCCGATTCAAGCCATTCTCCTGCCTCGGCCTCCTGAGTAGCTGGGATTACAGGCACCCACCACCACACCCAGCTTATTTTTGTGCTTTTAGTAGAGACGGGGTTTTGCCATGTTGACCAGGCTTGTCTCAAACTCCTGATCTCAGGTGATCCATCCGCCTCGCCCTCCCAAAGTGCTGGGATTACAGGTGTGAGCCACCACACCCGGCCTCTGTCTACCTCCGTCATTACCAAACTATATTGTTTTTTCACTCATGCAGGATGACCTTACAGAAGCACAGGAAACTGCACATTCACAATGTCTACATGTGGACCCAGTGATTCTTCTTCGGCGGATGCTATTCTCTGCGACAGCATTAAGAAAGAAATATAAAACACTACAGAAAGAAAATATGCAGCTGAAACAGGAAATTATAAGTCTCAAAAGTAATAATGAGAGAAATACATTAAAACGTGGTGAAGCTGAACAGTATGAAGTGCTGATTGGAGGAAGATCAGGACAGAAGATACTAGAAAAGTTAAACGAAATGCATCTCCTCTTGCAGGTTGGTTTATTTATCTGTAATGTGCTTTCATTCATTTCGCCGCAAATTCAATTTTGGATATATACATCGTATATGTTTTCTCGACTTTTCTTACAGCAATTTGTTTTGCAGACTTCTAGAAGGAAGGTGATACCTGTTTCTCCCTTTAAATATTTTAGTTTCCATCATTCTTATAACTAAATTGATCTTCCATCATAATATTCTCACTAGAAAATCATTGATTACTAAGGCCAGTATGCATAAAAGAAGACTAATAGAAAAAGTAAAAAAAAAAAAAAAAAATTGTGATTGAGAAATTATACCATACTCTTGAACTGCTTTTAAGTTACATTGTTCCATTTTTAAAATTTTCGCTTGTTTCTGTCATTCTTTGGAGAATTGTTGTACTACTCAGACTCAATTATTAATTCAGTTGATGCTGATGATAAATATGTTAAGCTTGAGCTTCTTTCTTTCTTCACAGACTTAAAATTGTTCTCTGAATAACTGACTCCAAACAAAAGGAAACAAATGCACAGTAATTATTCAGGTTATAATTACTTTTAAAATGTTCCCTTTTAATTTATTTTAGGCTCAAGCAGCATCTCTAGAACAGTTCCTGCAAAGGGACAATGATTGTGCTTCAGAAAGAGCTCAGATGCAACTGAAAATCCAAGATCTGGAATCTGAACTCTCCAGAATAAAAACTTTGCAAGCTGCTGCTAATAAAACAGAATTACAAAGGTTTCAGGAACTCTACCTAAAAGAAGCAAAAGCTGTAAGATCCTTGTCAAAAGAACTGAGAAGGTAAGTCAGTATACAGAATCATAGCAAATAA